GCATGTTTCTATCATGATAGAAAAACTACAGAAGAAGAACAACAGTAACAGAGAAAGAGAGGGCATAATTGCAGGAAGTCCTTGAACTTCCAGTAGAGAAAAGAAAGTGAGATTCAGTGCACAAGTGAAGGGCTGGACCCTATATAAGAACAGACAATTCATCTCTTCTCATAGGAAAGAAAGCAAAATATAAAGTTACAGATGCAAGTAAGTTGATGTGTATGGTTGGGAGAATGTGGATGTTCTATCTGGTCGCTGATGAAAAGTGATGGTAATTATACTAACTACATTTACCCTCTTAGTCTTTTTCTCTCCTCTACTCTCTGAAGACAATCAATTCAATAAGTATTATGGACATATAAGAACATCACAGAAGGAAATGATATAGCATTTTTAAAAGAGGCAAGAAATGTGGCTGGGGAGAAGGTGGAAGTACATTCTGAGAATGACTAGTGGATAGCGCAATAGCTTTTGTCATATGAGCTGGACATAAGGACCAAAATCACATTGCTAGACGGACAGCAAGTATCCGGATATGCAATGGCTGCCATTATGTAAGGAAGGTGGGAAGTGATCAGAAGAATCTAGAAAATGTTATTAAATTTTATTTAATCACAATGTTGTAGATCCGTGGGACCCCTATAAGTTTCTGGGAAGCGGAAGTGAAAGGTGATACTTAAGGAAGGTAAAACTCTTATTATCTGCTGAACTAAGAAACACCAATACAGAAGTCGGTTGTTCCAGTCCAGCTGGGGTCCTTTCTGGCTTGTTTTATGAAAGATATCAAAGTATAAGTTGGCAAGGTGGATTTTATGCAATCAAAGCTCATGGGGAAAATTGCAATAGAGACAACCACTATACAGGAAATTATACAGTAGACAGCATTAGAAGCAGACACAGAGAAAACAAACTTGACTATTAAGAAAGATTGATACATATGTAGAATTAATTTCAAAGCTCTAAAGCACTATAAATACAAACTTATAAGAAATGAACTCTGGAAATCACTCATGTCCAGACAACAGTGACACCTGTCTGAGTCAGAGCTAACAGTGCCTCTCCTGAACTATTACATCATACCAGGTGGATATTTAATGGGTGGAAACTACGTTTCAATACAAGATGGCAATGGGTCACCTTGTCTACCTTCTTTACATCTACAGCCTGACTCAAGACTGCCTGAAGTTCAAAGCCTTTGTTCTTCAAGAATAATGAACTATTAAGGCGAAATTTGTCCAAAGAAATTGGCAACCAACATGTAATCTTCACTTTTAGATTTAACATCTCAAAATAAAACCATGAGGTTTGTACGCTGACCATTGAAACAAATCCTGATCCAAGTCGATGTCTCTCAGAGATCAGAGTGGTGGTCACACTCGAGAACAAGCCCTCTTACCCTTCACAAAAAGCCCATAGTTTTGCAGAGGGAGCAATGGAGAAGAGGCAGATTGAGTTGCCAGCACATGTAACACTTCTAACTGGGAAGTTCCTTCTTGCCTTTTGGCTGAGTAAATGACTCACTGCTATAATCTTAAGTCACTTAAGTTCCAAGCATTCAACTTCCTTCCATCTATTAAGAATGACCTAATAGTAAAAAAATCCTGAAAAAAGGACAATTTCTTCTCTGTAATTACTAGCAGCTAACAATAACAGGTTACTAAGAAACAAACAATAACAAAAAAAGGAATGGTCCATAAAACAAAAATAATTCATTATTTATCATAGGAGCTCTACCACTGAGTTACTAGTATTTCCTCTAGAAATGTTTTGAGCTATTTCAACATTGGTACAGAATAGCTAATTCAAGAGCCAGAGTTTGAGTATTTCCATACAAACAGGTTTTTAAACTATGACCCTTTTTCTAGGTGAGATAAGTGTGCCAGTATCTTTTTAAAATTGTGTTGTATTGCGTGCACATGAACTTGTGTCCTAATCTTCCAGTTTCATTCAAAAACTCTCAGCAAATATAGCAAAATGTTTATCTTTAGTCAGAAGTGTGACCTAACTCAACGGGATTCAGATTAGTGATCAGAGAGAATAGGGCTTCAGGCAGTTCTCATAAAATGCAGATTTTTAATGTTTCATTATTTTTTAAATAAACCTGAAAATGAAAGGAATATAAATCAGAGGTTAAGTATGTAGACTTCAGAACCTAATAGACCTGGTTTTGAATCCTGGTTCTGTTTACCAGCTCTAGGTTGGGGGAAAACGTCTCAATTGCTGTATGTCCTAGACCTTTCATTTGTGAGATGGGGCTGGTAATGCCTAATCCATGCATATTGCTGTAAAGTTTAAACAAGAAACATACATGCATACAAAATTACATGAAAAGTACATGTCTTGGTTCCTTGCGGTTGCTTTAAAGGAATACCTGAGGCTGGGTAAGGGCTCACAGTTCTGCAGGCTGTGCAGGAAGATGGCACCAGCATCTGCTTCCGGCGACAGTTTCAGGCTGCTTCCACCCAGGGCAGAAGGGAAGGGGGACTGGTATGTGCAGATCACATGGAGGGGGCAGGGAGGAGAGAGCAGGAAGGTGCCAAGCTCTTTCTTTAACAACTAGCTCTGGGACACTCGCGGGAACTAACAGAGTAAGGACTCACTCATTACTGTGAAGAAGGCATCAAGCCATTCGTGAAGGATCTGCCCCCGTGACACAGACAGTCCATATATAGCAGTTAGTGTCATCTGCTGCACAATTAATACTTGGTTTTTATAAGTGAGGGAAAAGTCAAGCCATGTGATACAACAGTTTAGAGTAATTTTATTCTGTTTTCTGCTATTCAGAGCTTTTAGCAAATTCTTCTTTAGAAAGAAGGGATTTTTCAAATTCTCCACAATCACCCACCAAGTTCAGAGCAAGAATCACACTCAGTGTTTTGCTTTTCTTTGGGGACCAACGTGAATCCTACACCAAATCCGATAGCTTACTTGTCTCTAAGTGTTATTTCAGATCTAAAACATATTACTTAAAATTTCCTGTTATTTTGGAGAGATTATTTGTGTATCAAACATCAAAACGGAGATCATTGTTCTGTCAAGTAATATCCTGAAATCCAAGCATTTAGCAAAGCAGAAATGCCAGAGGGAAAATAGGAATCCAAACATAGAGGGACTAACACTTACCTTCCTTAGCCCCAGAATATAAACAACCAAGCCCTGTAATTACAGGGCACTAAAGGGCACTAAATGCCTTACACAGTAAAAACGAAATAAGAGCACTGGGAACAAGCACGGCTGTCTGTGGGCCAGCAGCGTGCCTCCCTGCTCGCCACAAACCCTAAGCCAAGACCTGAGAACTCGGGTGACTTGGCAGAGGAAAGTATGTGACACACAATCATGGAAATCCCATCAACCAGGATGAACATGTGACTTGAAAACTCAGGCTAGGGTCTACTGCCCTTTTATTGTTTTTGCCTCTTGCCTCTCTTGCCCTGTATTGTCTCTATTGGTGGCAGTAAGAGGCTGGGAACATGCTAAGGAAAAGAAAGACTGCTACACCTGGCTTGTCACCGAGTCCTGTCACACCGCATGGGGGCAATGAGAACACCAGCAGAATTTGACTCACCCTTTTAAAACCCTTCCCTGGCCAGGTGCGGTGGCTCACGCCTATAATCCTAGCACTCTGGGAGGCTGAGGCGGGTGGATCACTCAAGGTCAGAAGTTTAAAACCAGCCTGAGCAAGAGCGAGACCCATCTCTACTAAAAATAGAAAGAAATTAATTGGCTGACTAAAAATATATAGAAAAATTTAGCCCGGCATGGTAGCACATGCCTGTAGTCCCAGCTACTTGGGAGGCTGAGGCAGGAGGATTGCTCGAGCCCAGGAGTTTGAGGTTGCTGTGAGCTAGGCTGCCCCCACGGCACTCACTCTAGCCTGAGCAACAGAGTGAGACTCTGTCTCAAAAAAGAAAAACTTCCCTATAACCTTGGTCACTCCCATAATTGAATTTATGGATCTCAGGTTGGTTTGGTCTTTACTAGTTTTACTGAATATTTATATCAAACGGGTATTTGTTGTTGTTATTGCTGTTTTGCCAATTAGTTCAATGAAAACAGCCATATCCAACAGGCCAAGAACAACTATGCAGAGATATTTTCTTGTCATAAATGTATATATTTATACAATTTCTAACTGTAGAGTGCATTGTGGAGCCGCCTTTTAATGGATTTCGTCGCCTCTAAGTTGAATAGAGTTAAAAAAAAGACTGATCAATCACAAAGAGTTATTATGAAGATGATAATCAGAAGTACAGGGCTTGAAGAAAGTCATTTAATTCAGTGACATTTCTATTCAAAAAAAATCTTACAATTTATTAAAGAGAAAACTAACATTAATATACATATAATATACACATTGCATAATTTGTATATAAGTACACAAATACTTCTACAGTGCAAGTCTACTTTTAAGTAATGTTATTAGGAAAAACGAGTCATGGTCAAGGATTCTGTGATGCCGAAATAACCAAAATATTCCTTGAAACCAATGGATGGATTAGAGAAAGAGTTTAACAGAGATGGAGATGGTTCATTATTGTGTTGCCCTGTTTACTTCATTTACACATCCTGGTATTTGCTATGCATACCAATCAATAAGTTAAATACATTAGTGGTCATGTCTATCAAAAGTTAGGCAAAGGGTCATTAAATGCACATATAAAATAACCCTTTACCCGCCTTTCGGTAGCTGCTTCCAGGCGTCCGCCATTGGCCCCGCCGCCCTCCGAGCATCTGGCGGTGTTGAGGGGCTCTGAACGGTGGGGAGAGTCGCTGAGTGTCGCTGAGGGAGGGGGGCAAAGGGGCGAGTGACCATCGGACTGACGCACGGAGCGCGTGGAAGGCAGACTATCGGCACACCGAAGGTCCTAGGAAAGAGCTTCCAGAGGCTTCGGCACCTTGCCGACTCTGTGGCCTGGCGCACACCTGACGGCGAGGCAGTCTAGTGCGCATGCGCTTGCCCGTGCGCGTGCGCAGCAAGGGTCTTCCCGCCCCTGCTCGCGAGACTCCAGTGGCCAGCGGCTCGAGGCTTCGCGTGGGCGTCTAGGTGGAGTGGGGCGTGCCGGGCGCTCCTCGCTCTGCCGGCGTCGCTGCTCCTCTCATCCGCGGTGAGGGCAGGACGGGGGTCCTGGGAAGAAAGAATGGCGAGGCGGGGTGGGGAAGGGTCGGGGGTAAATTGGTCTGAGCGCGAGAACTGGCGGGGGAGGAAATTGGGGGCGACTTAGTGGCGTTGAGGGGGCCTGGTGGCGACGGCCCTGGGGATCGAACCTCGAGGTGAGGTTTGGGAGCCCTTGAGAACGTGCGGACGGGCGGAGGCGCAAGGTGTAGGAAAGTTTCCTTCAGGTGAGGGGGGAGACGGGAGAAAACAAAATTAGAAAAAAGAAAGAAAAACCCCTCTATACTAATCTTACTTTCATGAGAAAATTCAATTTGATGTTCAACATTTCAAAGCATTAGCTTTTTCCAGAAAGGGAAACTACTTGATTGGAACAGAATATGCAGTGATTAAGATTAAGGGCTAGACTCTAGCTGTTGGGGTTCAAATGCTAGGCTTCCTGACTTGCTACTGTGTGACCTTGGAGAAGTCGCTTACCTTCTCTGTGCCTACACCGCAGAATTAGATGAAACAAAGCATGTGGAAAGTATAATGCGTAGTATGGTCTTAAAAAAAAATTGTCATCATCATCAATAACAAACCCTGCCCACTGCATAGTGGCTAATCGACATACCAGTCAAGAGCAGGGCTTCGGGACTTAGTCCAAGCTTGCCATTGACAATGCCAATCCTCAATAACCACTTTCTTCCAGTGAGTATATGCTTCTGGGCATGATTCTAAAATTCTCTCAGGAGCTTGCTAATAGCTGACTGCTACACCCCTCCTCAACAAGAAAGGAATTTTCTAGAAATTAGTACATTCTTCTTCAAGTAACATGTACTTTTTTTCCTTAAAAGAGTAATGTATAAGAAAATGTGCACTGTTTCATAAAAGAGGTAGAGAAAATATATAGAAATCGTAATCTCATTGATTCATTTTACATTTATTGACTATCTACTATGTGTAACGGGTAATTTTGCTAGGTGTTAGAGATAAAATACAAAGATGAATTCAATACAGTACCTATCACCAGGCAATAGAGACGGTTATCAAACACATATATCAGATACCAAATTCCCCATCAGAAGTATGAATGAAGTGCCATGAAAACAGAGAAGAAAGAAAAAATTTAATAAAATATAGGAAAATGGAGAATTTCTTTGGTTTTTAGGAAGACTTATGTAGGACTACTTATAGGGGCACAGGGACACGAAAGGGTGAGTTTCTCACCACCCTTGGCTATACTTCCTTGCATCCTTGTCCTCTCCTCAACAACCACGATTTTTGTATAGGAGATATAGTAAATATCACAGGCAGCCATTAGAACAACAACCACAACAACAAAAAACACAAAAGTCAGCATTTACATTACAAAGTGAAGGACTTTTGTGGGGTGATTGTATACCCAGGACCAGAGCATGAACTAGAAAAGCCACTGTCACCCCATGTGCCTCAACGCCCACTGCTTGCCTACATGAATGAATGTGGTCCCAAATTATAAGACCATTCTGGCTACCGGTACACTAGGAATAACTCCAGGATAATTAAAGCAAAAACTAAATAGACCAAGTTTATGTGATGCTATTAACCAGTTTTTCCTTTATTTTCTGGTCTGCTTCACTGTAGGCAAACTCCAACTCAAGGAGGAAGAGCAGCAAATGTTTGCACAGTGTGTCTACCCGACTGCCAGCCACAGGCGTGTTTGTAAGCCCCATGGGAGCCCAATGATGCAAGTGTTTCTTCAGAAAGAGAAACCTAGCAAAATAGAAGTTGTCCTAGTTTCTTAGCTACTCCCCACTTCCTCTCCCTTAATTTCTCTGCCTTTCTGTATATCTCATTTATAAATTTTCTCCAGTGGTTATTTTTCAGATATATTTTCTAAAGCCTCAGAACATATCTATTGTCTTCTCATTCAGAGTAACCTCAGGAAAAGCACCATGCCTGGAGGGAGCATGGTCCACTGAAGCCAAGCAGTAACTTAGAAAGGCTGGCTCTAGAATAAAATAAATCTAGAATTTTATTAATGCACCATGTGTAGCAGAGCAAAATGATTAACTTCTAAAAGACACTGAATTTGGAAAACAAAGAAAAGCAGAAGGGATCAACTGTTATAGTTTATGATATTATCACAATTAATTACTATCATATGAAAGTCAAAATTACTCTCAGAGAATAATAACAGTGGCAATCAGTAACAGATGAGATTTTACAATGACCTTAAAATCAAATACAATTTTCCATTCTTCTCAGAAACATTTAAATGTATGCAATAAGATTTTTTTAAAAGCAACAAGTGAATGAAGGAGAATCTAATTTCCAAAATATTTATTTTGAAGAACTACAATTTCTGAAACTGATCTGGTAAGACTGGATCTTTTAGTTCTCAGTAAAATAAAATGATCTGACAACTCCTCACTTGAAATTCAGGCTTGGCGTTGACTTTAATGCTAATAGTAAATGTTCACCTTAGTTTGTACTTTTCTATATTTCAATAAAAACCCATTTCAAGAAATGTCACATTTCATCCCGTGCCTCTTCTACCCTGCAAAGGCAGTGAGGGTGACTATTTGTGGAAGTAGGAAGATGGCTTACTGGAAAAAACTCTGGACAGGTTTAGATTCTTGTCCCAGCTTTACCACACAAACTCAAATAAGTAATTTAATTTTATTGAACCTCATTTGAAAATGTGAACAAGAGTATTTTTCTCTTCTTATAACATTATCCGATCAAAGGAGATAACATATAAAGTGCTTTAAAAAAATATAATACTTACCCTAAGCAAAAAGAACAAATCTCGAGGCATCCTATTACCCAACTTCAAATTATACTACGAGGCTATAGTAACCAAAATAGCACAGTCCTGGTATAAAAGTAGATACACAGACCATTGGAGCAGAATAAAGAACCCAGAAATAAAGCCTACAACCAAATACTTACAACCAACTGATCTTTGACAAAGCAAACAAAAACATACACTGTGGAAAGTGTATCCTGTTCAATAAATGATGCTGAGAAAATTGGATGGCCACAAGCAGAAGATTAAAACTGGATCCCTATTTCTCATTATTCATATTTAACTCAAGATGGATTAAAGAATTAAATGTAAAACCTGAAACATAAAAATTCTAAAAGAAAATCTAGGAAAAACTCTTCTGGACATTGGCCTGGGCAAAGAATGTATGACTAAGACCCCAAAAACAAATGCAACAAAACCAAAAATAAATGAGAGTTAATTAAACTACAAAGCTTCTACACAGCAAAAGAAGTAATCAACAGAGTAAGTAGATATCTATGGAGTGAGAGAAAGTATTCACATACTATGCATCCAACAAAGGACTAATATACAGAATCTACAAGGCACTCAAAGCAACCAGCAAGAAAAAAATACCAACTAATTCCATTAAAAAAGTGGGCAAACAACATGAACACTCGTCAAAAGCAGTCATACAAGTGGTCAACAAACATGAAATAATGCTCAACATCACTAATCAGGGAAGTGCAATTTATAACCACAATGAGATACTACCTTACCCCTGTCAGAATGGCCATTATCAAAAAGTAAAAAAACAACAGATGTTGGTGCAAATGCAGAGAAAAAGGAATGCTTACACACTGTTGGCAAGAGTGTAAATTAGTACAACCTCTGTAGAAATAGTATAGAGATTCCTCAGAGAACCAAAGTAGATCTACCATTCAATCCTGCAGTCCCACTACTGGTTAGCTACCCAAAGGAAAAGAAGTCGTTATGTCAAAAAGATAACTGCATTTGTATGTTTTTCACAGCACAATTTGTAATTGCAAAGATACAAAGTCAACCTAGGTGCCCATCAGCCAATGAGTGGATAAATAAAATGTGGTATATATACAAGACTCTTCAGGATCTGACACCTGCTTGTTCACTCCAATTAAACTTCCAGTGCTGCTCCCTTTGCCTGGAATAGCTCTTCTCTGGGATTCCTACAAACCCTGCAAGCATCAAGAAGACATCCCTGTCTCCTGAAGTTGTGTTTAGATGCTACTTCTGACTTGTTTCCAGTTATTTTTCAACATACCTCTATTTTAACAATTACCTTATTGCTATATGGTTCTTTTTTCATATATCTACTCATTAGGGTTCTAGGGGGAAAACATATGTTTTTTAAATTATAAACATTCTCATTATTACAGATACTTTAGAAAATTCATTAATGTCTAATAAAGAAAAGCAAAATTACTTGTATTTCTTCCAGAAGGGGGATACCACTATTTTAAAAATATTTCTTACACACACACGTGCATGCACACACACACACACATATATATATGTTAACTTACTTTTATTTGTCCTAAAACATTCATGATTTGGTTTTTTTTTTTCCTAGCAGCTAGCATAGGGCCCACCAAATACAAAATATCAAGAAGTATTTGTCGAATTAATGAATAATTCCAAATCTGTCCCCTTTTTCTCCATTTCCCCAACTATTGTCTTAAAATCATTCTTCTGAGCGACGCCAGTAATCTCCAGTTGTTCTTGCTGCCTTTAGTTTCTTCTCCCTTGAATTCGTTCTTTGCATTGCTGCATAGTTATATAAAATGAAAATCTTGCCACATTATTATATTTATGAATCCTTGATGGTATTTACTGCCTATGAAATAAAAATATAATTCCTTATCATTCAAGACTTTTCACAATTTAGTCCTAACCTATTTTTCAGAGCCATGTTCTGTGATTCCTGCCTCCATTCCATGCTATATCAGGAGTCTGTCTAGATACGTTAGACCACATGCAGCTCTCAAAAACGACATGGAGCATCGCTCCCGCACCTCCGTTCATGCCATTCCTTCTGAGGGAACTATCCTGCCCCAGTCTTCCTCATCAGCCTATTATTTGGTTCATTCTTCAAGGACAAACTAAAAAAACAAAACAAAACAAAACAAAAAAACCTGTGAAGTTCTTCAAATCCTGCCCCCATATTCCAGCCAAATTATTTGCGCTCTCTAGTGTTTGCAAAGAAGTAGTGCCCAAAGTCAAAACTAGTTTTGTAGAACTGCCGATTCCCTCACCCCAAAGTCTCTGAGGTCCGGGTTCAGTAAGACAAAGTGGGGACAGGAATCGGCTTTTTGAAAAACACAGTACCTCCCAACCTAAACAATTCCCCTTTGTGCCAGACTGGAGTCTGCGTTGCTGAGCTCTAAATATTCTCCTTAAAGCATGATTTAGAGTCATGATAGAAACAAGTAGAGTGTGTCAGGACCCACGCTCTCACGTATTCGTGAAGCCAATCATTGTTTTTCCTAGGTTCTGTGGATGTGCGTCCTTGGGAAGTGAAATCAGGCTCTCTTCAGGCTGTTCAAAATAGCAGGGAAATGGATTGAAATGCATACTATTAAACATAAACAACAAAAAAGAAAAGGACATGAGGTCACTTAAGCTGATCTCTGAATTTCCTTTATAATATTGTACTCATGGAAAAGAAGTGAGGAGATGAAGAAACACAATGAAAATAGTTATGAGCAAATAAACTTTGTATCCAAAGAGCCATAAAAGGCCTTGGCTAGTTCAAATCATCCAAATAATTTTCCTAGAATGGCATTACTTGGCTCTAAACAAGTCACTTTGAATCAAATTCTTGAAATTTTTGTCATTCACAAAGATACGCAATTCCCTTTTGAAGATTTCAGTTCAAAGCAACTTTATGTAAAACCTGCCTTCCTTCCCTCTTGAATACAATATGTGCATTCAATGAATAAAAGCCCAGAGAAGAAAAGGGCATTAATAGTTAATCTTTAAAATCAAGAGCTCTAGAGGCAAAAGGACTGTTAAAAGATTTTCTTTTTAACATTTTTCACAGCAAAGTACACATGGAAAATGATATTTGTATGGTATATTGGGGTGAAGACATGAGAGTTGCTAGAGACTCAAAGCAACTGGCAAGGCCTTGAACTGCCCCAGACAATACTTGGGGGTGGAAGAGATAAATCCTAGAACATCTGGAACTACAGTTCCGGAAGATATACTAGATAAACCAATGCAATTACAGATGAGAAAAATTAAGCCCCATAGGGTGTCTTGACACAACAGAGGTTAATGAGGTCACTGGGTAGAAGAGCTAGCACTGGGTTTTCTCAGGCCTCATGACAGGGATTCCAATCTGTTTGCCATTCAGAATTAATCAATTCTGCTTGTTGCTGGAGTCATGTTTCATTGAAGCACCCAGCATTTGTACTAGACTGAAAAAATATGACCTCTCCCACAAATATCTGTACCATTTTTCAACTGTATTGCAAAGCAACTTGAAAAAATAAGAGAAATTCATTGATAATTCTCTTAATTCATTGAAAAAAAATGCTACATAAAATATTAAAAACTCTTTTAAAATGAATGGAAGAGGCTGTCAGCCATAAGGCAAGAATATGAATAAAATATATTTTATCCATAAAATATATGGCTAAGTGAGAACTGAAATAATAAGAACTGAAGCATTGAGTTCCCTGGGAGTAACCACACACTCAGGCTGCCTGGAACGCTGTGTCCTCACCAATCAGAGAGCTCCCTTAGTGACCATCCAGCACAGAAGCCGTGCTCAGGAAAAGGGCACACAGGAAAGGAGTTCACTAGAAATAAGCAAACAATTCCCCACAAAGGAAGCAGCCAGCAAAATTGTCTGACAGAGACTTGAGTATGGACGAAGAAAGCTCTCCTGAGAATCTGCGACCACTGAAAG